TGAACAGGACTTTTGGAATATGCTAAAGGAATATAATGACAATTTTGAGCTCATAAATTCTAACACATTTGTAAGGTTGTAAAGACATATATATTTGTGACCAGTGGGAGATTGTTGGCAAATTTTGGGTCATGTATATATATGATACATATTTGAATGTGTTAGGGTCATTATTTATTAAGTCAAATAATAAAGTGATCTGAATAAATTAAAGTTTTGGCTAAAGGCATATGTCATGAAAATATGATTGTGTAGAGACCATAGAGTAATTTCTAATTTGATGAGGGGCCAAATTGAAAATACTAAAAACTTAAGTAATTAACCTAATTTTGGTTATTTAAAGGGTCATGGTCCCCTTCTGAGAGCACACAGATAAAAACAAAGTTACAGTCCCGTTCCCGTTCCTTTCTCTCTATCCCCATCAAGAGAGAAAATCAAGAGGGAAATACAGGTGCTCTTCAGGTGGAAGACCATAAGATCAAATCAAAGGTGCTCTACAAAGGATATCTTCATTATGGTCAAACAGATACGTTTTCGCATTTAGTTTATAACATGTTCACAGAAAGAGATTATAGGTATATGTTTGATCATTAGAATGGATATCATATTCAATTACAGTTTAACCTAACAGATTTATCATCATCATGATGTTTAAAATTTAACTTTCGCGTTGTTTATGTAATTGCCACGAATATACTTCGTGACTACTATGCTGTTTAAAGTTTTTATTTTTATTTTTTTCTTTTGTGTGTGGATTTTTCATAGTATTGTTCCATGTTTCTGTTTATTGTCAATGTTGTCAGATTAACTACAGCACTGAAGATATTTTCCACAAGAAAAGAATTACTATGTTTACTTAGTGGGGCACCAAGCTTTTATCACCTTTGTGTGAAACACGATACAATACATGTTTAGTTCAGAGACACACATACCTACCCTAATCGGAGGAATTAATACAGAGTTCAGTTTTTTTTTTTTTAATGTTTATATCAACAAATAAAAGAGTAATAAATGAAAAAATAATTATAATAAATATCAATTAAGAAGATATAAACATTTTTATAGAATAATATTTAAATATAATTATCTGAAAATCATAAAATATTTTATCTCACATTTTTATAAATAATATTTAAATATAATTATCCAAAAATATAAAATATTTTATCTCCATTTTATCCTATGTGTTTATTATCTTGAATAGTATTAAATATGTCCCAGTGATTAATAATGGATAGGTACATGTATTACACTGGTGAAACTTTTGTTTTCTAATATATACTTTTTCTCATATTTTTCACTGCATTTTTATTTTATTTGTACAGAAGAAGTAGCATTAATAGATAAGAATATCACAATTTTATCCTATTGAAGATGTTTTTATTATTAGATAAAGTAAAATTTATGACTATTGCACTGTTAATCAACCTTAATTTTAATTATATCCAATCTTTTAAATAATAATATTCTAGAAAATTACTTCTTGTTTGTTTATTATTTCCGGAAAAAAAATCATATTATTAATTTTTAAAAGTTAAAACAATTTCTTAATAAATATTGTATAAAAATAGTTTTATTCTTAATTTTTAAAACTTAATATATATATATATATATATATATATATATATATATATTTATAAGTATCATCAGATAGAAAAAAAAATTATAAAAGGAAAAAAGTAATATTAAGAGTAATATAAAAAAAGAGAAAAAAAAGTGTAATGTAATATAACGAGTGAAAAAAGAATGTAAATAAATCTAAAGTTTTGAAAGAAAATTAAATATATAAATTAAAAAAATCATCCTCAATTTTTATTGTGATTTTTTAATTGATGTTATTCTATTCTATTGAAAATAATTTTTAATAACAATATCAAATAAATTTTTAAATATTATAAAAAATTATATTTTTTTTCAAAATTGGAAAAAACAAAACTAAATAATAGATAATTAGACTTACTCTTTTCAATTTCTCAAATAGATGTTTTCAATATTTTTTCATTTCTTTTATATATATTTTTCATGTATTATCTTCGTAACTATAGCTTAAAATTTCACTTTGATCCATGTAAAAACATTCTGATTTATCATTCAATGTTTATAAAATCAAATCTATCATTGAATTGGTCCAAGTATAGGTTAAAAGGTTTAATAATTTAAGCGTAGTTAAATCATAGTTGAACCAGTTTTAATAAAAATAATTAAAGAATATATAATATTATAATTATGCAACACATATCAAATAAAATAAAAATATCATTGTTTTAGACTCTTAAGATAAATATATATAATCAAATTCAAATATTTCATAATAGTTATGTTAAATTAATAAAATAAAATAATATCTATTAGCAACAATAAGCTAGATATAAGATAAAAATAAAAAATTAATATAATATAAAATATATAAAAGTGATATATAAAAAAATACAAGTTATATAAATGAGTAAATTATTTGTTTTATTAGAAAAACTTATAATAGTTGATCAAATAGAGCGTCAATTTGTAAAACTTATAAAATAATTTTTTTCTTTATTTAAAAAAAATTGATTAAATTTTTAAAAAGTTAAAATATTTTGTTAAATTATCGGTTCAAAATTAGTTGATACTCCGATTTTTTTTATGGGTTTTTAATCCGTTTGACTAAGTTTTAGTCGATTCATACTGGTTTCAAAATTTTCAAAATTAATATGGTTATGGGTTGAAATTATATATTTCAATTTCTTAACTTTTTTTGTCTACTAACTTAATTTTTATTTTTATTTATTTAAAATTAAAAAAAAATTATTAAAATAACTTCGTCTATACTACGCTATAAATTGCTTATCGTGTATTTATAATATGAGTTATACGTTAAAATTATTTATTTATTATGTATTTTGACTATTATATTATTTTTACATTTAAAATAAAATTTAGCTACACAAATAAATACTAAACTTCTAAAACAAGTATATATTTAGAAGATAAACAACATTTAACATCTTATATAAAACTACCAAAATTTTTTTTAATAATTCTGTTGCTTAATAAATTTAATAAATCATATTCGGTATTTTTAGTGTGTCATCTAAAAATAAAAATATTTAAAAATAATTTATATATATCATCTCTTAACTTAATTAAATATATTTTAAAGAGAAAAATATAAAAAATATAAAAATAATATTTTAAATATAAAAATTAATCCGTGATATCATACGGATATAAGATTGGATAATGTCATTTCTAAAATAAACAATTAGTGACGAAAAAAAAAAACACGAAGAATAATAGAACAGAAGTTGTTCAACTATGGTGTGCGGAAAAAGTGAAGAAAACTTTTATTTTCAGGACCACTGGCACTGACCAGTGGCCACTTCGGTCATAACCAAGTGCAATTTGAGTTCACTTCTATTTGTCTCTTTTCCTTTTATTTTATTCGACCCATTTTTTGTGTTTTTGTTTTTCCATAAACCACATATATATTTTATTTTAAAATAATAGTACTCAAATAAGATAATATTGTTATAAATCAACTATTCAATCTCATTGGTCAAGAAACAATAACTTGATTGTACTTAACATATGAATAGTTGACACTAAATCCTACACAAAAGAATCAAATGACTGTAATATATATAATTATAATAAGAGAAACTAAAATAAAATATTTATAATATCATATGAACACAATTAGGATATAAAATACTAATAAAATAACTTAATTATAACAATTACTTATATATATATATATAAAGTGAATTTTATACCTAAAAAAAATAATACATGATCTGTTTATTAACCTAATATAACATATATTTTTCTGTGAATAATGTAACATTATATCATCATGTAACTACTAAAGTCTACATATATAAGTTTATCCTGACTCATGACAGCGAGAATTCTCACTGGCTACCTTGGACTATTGAAGAAGAATGACCCACATTCTTATAATATGTCAAATTAATATATATCTTGTTTGTTTTAATGTTGTTTAACTCTACCTAGGACTCCGGACACCCTCCTTAAAAAAAGTTTAAGAAAAGATTGATATACTGTAGATAACATGTAATAATATAAGGTCTAACAAATTTTATTACCGTATTGCATAATGTTGGACTTCATTATCACCACAAAATGTAATATAATAAATATTTTGTGATGCCATTTATATAAGAAATAAATTTTTTAAATGTTTTTATCTAGAAGATTGATAGAAGTGAGACAAATGAAAAAGTAATTTTTAATAATGTTTAACTCAACAAGTGAACAATAAATGATAATAAGATAAAACGTGTTAAAGATACTAAATCTTTTTATAGGTTAATATAATATAAATATAATTACTTGTTAAAATATTTGTCTCTATTTTATCGATTTTTTAATATTTTGAAGAGATATCGAGAATTTAGCTTCTTTAAATATTTAGGTTTCCAAATATTTTTAGAAAATGTTAAATAAATCAAATTATAAATAATTCCCTTTTTTTAATTTGATTTATTAGGTGAGTTGCTACATTAAACATATAATATTTATATTTTTTTATGAGTCTAAATTTTGTTGATCAAATTTATATAGAAGCATTTATATGTATTAGTTGTTAAGTTAAAAAAAAAAAACTTTCATCTTATTTCAAGGAACTTTTTTCTAAGGATCTTTTTAAAAAAATAATGAAAAAAAATCTTGGTAAATTAAAATTAATTTATTAAGTTAAAAATAAAAAAATGAAAAAGTTAATCGAGAGTTTTTACACATTAGATTATTCAATAAGTTAGTTTTAATTTATAATAGAATAATTATTTTTTTCTTAAAGTTTTTATTGGTTGTAGTTAAAAAGTATAGAGAAAAATGGAATGATAGCTTCACCATGGGATTTGCAAGCTTCTACTTGATATGATATGACCTCTTTCCCTATTATATTTATTTGAGTAGGAATGCACCCACTTTTGTAGCACAATTATCAACATACTTACAAAGTGCTTTTTGGCGGTATTTGTATTATAACATGGATCCTTCTAGACAGTTTCCTTATTCAATCTATTCTTCGCACCCCAACTTTTACTAATCCTCGTCATATTTGTATTGTTAATGTGTGTGCTTTTTATTTAAGATTTACTAAAAATTGTTTATTTATTAGATATTAATGCATTTGAAAATTAATATATTTAATATCATTATAGAAATAAACATTATTTAAAAAAATTTATTTTACACATATAAAATGTAAAATGAAAATTAAAAAAATATGAGAAAGAAAATAATAAATTTTCTTAGATAAAGGGAAAATGTCACTTTTTAAATATGTTTATTTTTTTCAGTAAAAATTAAATCAGATGTTATTTTATAAAATTATTCTCATTTAAATAAATATTTATTTATTTTTATATTTATAATTATATATATATATATATATATATTATCTGTTATTTAAATATAATATCATATAATTATAAAAATTAAATGAATAATTTAATATATTTTTATTTATTTATTTGTAATATGATATTATTTTATTAATTTAATTTTACATAATTTAAAAAATATAATAAACAATGCTTTATAATTAGGTACTAAAATATATATTCTTAAAAAATATATATAATTTAAAGAAATTTTTAAAAAGGTTATTTTATTGATAAAAATTAATTAATTATATGAATAATTTTATAATTAAATAAATATTTAATTTTAATTTCATTATTTATTAATTTTTAAAATGAAGACTTTCTTTTCTTTTTCATTTTTTTCCTTAATAATAATTTTTCTCTTTCATTTTTCTTTTTTTCTCTCTTATTCTTTTCCTTCTTAAGAAATAAATCCTATAATAGATAATACTTTTTAAAATATTAATGCACCTAATTATTTATAATTTAAAATTATTAATTAAGTTGAAATAATTTACGCTAATAAGTAACCAATGCATTAGATGATTTATTAAAAAAAATAAAACTGAATTTAGTATTTAAAAGAATTTAGAGTAAAAAGAAATATTTTTTGTGGATTGTTCATTATCCTAATCATTGAAATACTTGCAAATAATAATAATAATTATAATAATAATAATAATGATATTGAGGGATTATCTTTTGTTTTTCTTTTATTAATTCGATCACAGAAATTATTTTAACTTCTACCAACCACCTCACAGAAATAATTTGATCACAGACCTGTGCCAACTTTTTAATGGCAGAAGTAATACAAGTTTTCTAGTTGAGAAAAATGTTTATGTTTCACCTTCTATAAAAAGACTAACATAGAAAATAAAAAAAAATATTTTGGACCGCAAAAAGTATTATAAAACCTATCTAATCATCATTTTACATTTATACAGATAAAAATTCCTTTTCAAAATTAGTATAATAAAAATTCTTTCAAAAAAAGAAAAAATTAATAAAATTTCAAATAAATTATAAATAAATTAATATTGTAATATATAAATAAATAAAATTTTCATTAAAATCAATTTTATAAAATTAATTTAGATATACTAATGTTTATATTCAACATTTCATACCATGTGTCATTTTTTTTTTTTCATATTCTCTTTCGTATAATCACACTGATCTAGTTTATTATTTTATACAAAGATTACTTCAATTATAAGGACATTTCCACCAAATTAACCCTTAAAAAGGAATTTCACAAATTTACTCTGACAAATTTTCAAGATAATTTGCTTTTATAATTAAGATTTTAATATTTTTCTATCAAATATAATATTAAAGTAATTTCTTGAAAATATTAAATTTAAAAATTTTATGAATTTAATTTAATTATTTGAAATTAAAGAGTTTAAAATTTTATAAAATAAAAAAATTAAAAATTAAAACGTTTTAATGTTTTAAAAATTATATCTATTTTCTTCAAAGTTAAAACTAAGACATAATTATTCCACTGAGATTAAATTGACATCCACTCAACATTGACTTTTAAGTTCATGTTATAAAAATTGACACATAACTAAAACAATTAAATAAGTTAAAAACTTAATTTAAAATAATACATTACGGATATAATTTTTAAGTAACATAAAACTGACAAAGATTTATCTAATACACATTTTTTTAAAGAGAAACTCTCACATGGAGATATATGAGATAAATTAATTAATAATGATCTTAATGATAATTTATATATACTTTAAATTAGTTTCAAAATATGTATATATGTTCTATAGCAATACACATTTACTTATATTATATGTTAATAAAGTAATATAATCAAATAACAAGTAGTTCTTTAATTATATAAATTCTGCATACTTAATTTAGCAATGAAAACTTTCAAAACAATGATTAAAATAAAAAACAAAGAGTTAACTTTTATTAAATAAAATTTGGGGTACAGGTTTATGATACTTAAATGTACAATTTTTGAGAGATACGTATGTGTTAATTAATGTATTTACAAAGGCATTGTGATTAAATCAATTTTCGTCAAGTTTTAAATTTGTATGACCACTTTAATAACTTTTTATGAATATTAAATTTCACCAACAGCACATTGTATCAAAACGTTTTATAAAATAAATTAAGTAAATACAAATTTTTACTTCTTAAAAAATAATTTTTGAGCCAACTCATAGCACTTGTTCTGAAAATAGATGAAAATGAACCATCATATACTCAATTTTGAGAAAATATTCATTATATGGCCAACATTCCACTACAAATATCATTTAGTATCTTGATATTTTGTGTAATATATCATTTAAAATATTCATAAAATCTTATTATTACATTTTATGTACGAATATTATGAAAAAGAAAACGAATTTATAAAATTTCGGAAATGTAGCAGAAATTTATGAAGACAATTATGCGATTCGATTCAATAGTTGAATTAACTAAAACTAAAATTAAATATTTAAAAAGGTTGGTAAAGTTTTACGCCAGACATTATCAATTAATCATCTTGCAACTGTAACGTAAAAAGTCTTTTTCTAATAAAAATTATATTGATTTTAAAATGTTCTTGCTTTGTCCAGTTCTAAAATCCCCTTCCATTGACTGACTCAGAATATTAACACATGAAATTTTCTCTTGCGGGTCGGAGGAAGGCGACGCGATAAGGGAAGCGCGTGGTGGAGGGGAAACTAGGGGAGGAAAAATAATAAAGAAATGGCCACGCTGTGTTCCTCCCAATTCCATACATAACAGCTACTAACCACTCGCCAAATCCAACGTTGTAATGCGTGCTTCTTAACTTACTTCTGGCACTCCGACATCGTTTTACTCGAACGACCAAACTCTGTAGAGAAACAAACCCCTCCTTCTCTCTCTCCCTCTTTCTCTTTCTCTCTGATTCGGAGAACATCCTAAGAACTCGATTATTTTCTGCGTTTTCTTTGACTCAATGGAGGTTCAAACTCACACCCACACTCTCTCCACCTTCGATGTCAACCCCAACCCCAACGCTTCATTCCCTTACGACATTCATCATCCTCAATTTCTGAGCTCCGACTACCCGACCCCGACATTCCCCCTCTCCCCGCAAGAGCCGCCACAACCACGCCCCACCCTTGAGTTATCGGAGCCTCACGCGCCGGGACGCGCGTGCCCTCAGACTACTGCTGCCCTCCAGGTGCAAAAGGTCTACCGGAGTTACCGCACACGGCGGAGGTTGGCTGATTCCGCCGTCGTCGCTGAGGAGCTCTGGTGCGTCTTTTCCCACTCTCTGTCTCTTCTCCCACTGCTCTGCATGCAAACTCTTTATCTAATTTATATATTTTTTTATTACAACGTTTTATTTTCTTTAAATTTTTATTGTGTACGAGTTAATTTTGAGAAAAAGGTGGGGTTTGAAAATTTTTAAGGTGGCAAGTGATTGATTTCGCAAGGCTAAACCACAGTACCATTTCGTTCTTCAATTTGCCTGAGACTGCCGCATCACGGTGGAGTAGGGTCAAACTCAACGCTTCCAAGGTCTATCTGTCTTTTTATTTTTTATGTAGGCGTGTTATACGGATACTATACAGTACAGCTATTTATACGTTTTGTTGGAAGCTACTGTGCCTTTTGTTCAGTGCGATACTAGGATTATGTTTGATTCTGAAGTCAACTGTTTGTTGGCAGGTGGGAAAGGGTTTGTCCCTGGACGCCAAAGCACAAAAATTGGCTTTTCAACATTGGATTGAAGCTGTGAGCATGCATTTCCTAACACCCCACATTTTTTAATTTAATTTAATTTATTTATAATTTGTTATCTTTGACCAACTCATCCTTATCTCTGTCGTAGCGTGTTTGGTACATCTTGGTTTTTCACGTGTAATGAGAAGCCAGTAGTAGTAATAAATAATAGGTTTCATGTTTCGGATGTGATTTATTACTTCTCAATATTCCAAACACAACATTTAATTGGTGTTATGGCTTGAACTGTAGATTGATCCACGCCACCGCTATGGGCATAACTTGCATTATTACTATGAAGACTGGTGCAAAACGGATTCTGGCCAGCCATTCTTTTATTGGTGAGACTAGTTATCTACAAAAAGCATTTCATGATTTGTTCATTGGGCCAAGGTCGTTTCTGATTGATATCATGCTGTTGATATTGGATGGTTCCATTGTCGACAAAGGGGTTTTGGTTGCTGTACACTTCAGCTTCTAGATTCCACTAGTGTTTCATTCTCTACCAAAATTTCAATGAAAAAAGGGGGCGTGTTTAGGAGCCCAATTTCATTGGTTGGATGAAATGGGGAATTTTGATTTTGTTTCCTATTATTGTTTTGACCAAGGGAAGCTTGTCATGTGGAGTGAGATGTTAAGTTGTGGTATTTTACTGAAACTTTTTTATTTGTCTCATTCTGCAGGTTGGATCTGGGAAATGGAAAAAATATTGATCTTAAACATTGCCCCAGATCGAAGTTCCGAAAACAATGCATAAAGTATCTAGGACCTGTATGTGCACATACTTGTTGGATTTATTACGTTTTTTTTTTTTTGTTAAGTGTATCTGTCTTTGAATTTATTGACTATTTGACTTGTAATTTGTACTGCATTATTCCAAAATCTGTTGCCTTTTCCTGCTTTCCTGACTAGTTGATCCTTCTTAATAATTTCCTAAATTAGCAAGAGAGAGAGCATTATGAATACATTGTCTGCGAGGGAAAAATTATCCACAAGCAATCTGGAGATTTTCTGCACACAAAAGAAGATTCTGAGGATGCCAAGTGGATATTCGTAATGAGCACCTCTAAGAAACTTTATGCTGGCAAGGTAACAATTTAAGCTCAGAGTATTGTTTCTAATTTTCTATTTTTCATTTTTATACACGCACTTTGCCATTACTATCCAGCCATATTGATACTTTGTAATAACCTCTCAGAAAAAGAAGGGGTTATTCCACCATTCTTCTTTTCTGGCTGGTGGAGCTACCTTGGCTGCTGGAAGGCTGGAGGCTGAGCATGGTGTTCTTAAGGTATACTTAGTTCATAGGTCGCTTGATTAGCAAAATCTTTGTTTATTGGAATCTCTTCTAAGAAAATGCCACGGCCCCATTTACAGTCTTAAAAGAGGTGGTAGTGTGCCGCTTTCATCCTTTTTTCTTTTGGTGCAAATTTGGCTATGCACATGGAATTACACTGACAGAGACATTTAATAATTACAATTTATGTGCATTGAAAATGACAAATGTCTGATTCTCAATGGCTTTGGGATTTTAGTCCATCTCTGCATATAGTGGACACTATCGCCCAACCGATGAGGCACTCAACTCCTTCATATCATATCTCAAGGAAAATGGAGTCAAGATTGATGAAGTTGAGGTAATTGATTTATACCAGGCCATCCTTGTTTACTTAAGTGTTTGTTTAGGCCAATAGATGTTTCTTCAAGTAGAAATTGATCATTTATGGCCAGAACATTTAATAGTTAGCTAGTAAACATGTTGATAATCACGTGCACTTTTCATTGAACAATTATGATGCATTGTTTCAGATTCGCAATCCAAAAGATGATAGTGATACTTACGAGGATGGAAAGGTTAGTGAAATAGCCACAGCACCTGAAGATTCTAGCAATGGTAATATACCAGAGCCTGGACTTTCTGAGGAAGCTGAGAACACCTCATCTTCAAACAATGTAGACCCTCAACCTGCATCTGTTGCTAGTTATAAACGGACACTCTCTGGTGGTCTTCAGAGTCCAAGGGCTGAGGTGCCCAAGAATTCAATATTGCACAGAATCAATTCCAAGAAGGCAAAATCTTACCAATTGGGGCATCAACTTTCACGTAGATGGTCAACTGGGGCTGGACCTAGAATTGGGTGTGTTGCTGACTACCCTGTAGAACTTAGACTACAGGCCTTGGAGATGCTTAACCTTTCTCCAAAATTTCCTCCTTCACCTTCCTCATACAGGTTAGTGGGTGGTCTTGTGTCACCCACAGCTTGTCCAACACCCAACTGCACTAGAACTGAAACTGATGAGAATTCTCCTCATTCAACTCCTGAATGATATTAGGATTATGTATGCTTCCTGCATAGTGTAGTAAAGCTTCAAGGCTTTTCTCCCAAGGTTATAGGTGCTTTAGTTTATGTATCTGTTCCTTATGTTATATCTACTTCGAAGGACCCAATGTTATCTTTTATTAAGTTCAATAGTTTTTATTAGCTCACGTCATGGTTGTCTCCATTAACATGAGGATAATGAAGTGTTTTATGATGGTGATGCTAGATTGGTTAACATACTGTATGAATTTGGCCAGAAATGTCATTCACAACTAGCCTCCACGTTCAAAGCAATTTGGTGTATGAAATAGATCGTACATGCACGGATTTTCAGAAGCACTTGCGATACTAGTTAGTTGGTGCTTCATGACCAATCATTAAAAAACAGCCGTATAAATACCATGAGTACCCATCATTAACAAACTTAAAAAGTAATTACCAGTCATGATAAAAACGTGATCATCATTATAGAATGAAACTTTTTTTTTCTCATGTCAAATAATAGTTTAAATACTTTACAAATGATATTACTCAGTTATTGCATTTGGGACGTGGACATAAATGTTAAAATGCAAAACTCGTTTACTTTCGGGCATTTTCACCGAAGACAGTAAAATACTTTTGTCAGTCAAAAAACAGAACAGAAAATATGTTTTTGTCATCCTCTGCCATCCATCTGTTCAATACGCTCTGCCTTGAATAGTGTGATAATGGTTGAGTAATAACTTACATGTACAAAAATTATCTTGACACTCTACAAAGGTATACTGTATTTCTCAGTGATGGTGATATATAGAAGTGGTATTGATATTATTATCAACTAACTTTTTATAATTGTGTAAACTTGCAAAATTATTTTTAAGTAAAAGGAAGGTAATTTGTAAATTGAATTACTCATTATTTTATTATTTTTCTTTTTTATATTTTGTATTACATTCAAAGGTATTATAAAGATTCAGAAATAACCTTAGAATATTATATCAGTTATAAAAATTATATTGGTATAATGTATTGAGTTATGCTTTATTTTATTCTTTGACTTCTTATTTCATGTTTGATTCTTTTCAATTACACTAATATTTTTTTATGACCTTTCTTTAAATTTCTTTTTTAATTAACACTTAGTTGCTAAATTTTGCTACAAATTTGTTGTTAAAATTATTTTTTCTTCTACTTTTTCTTCTTGTCAATTCCAAAAAACTTTATTAACAAACTTGACATCTTGACTGATAATCACTTTCTTTGTCTTCAAATTATAAAGTCTATAACCCTTTCATATCGAACTATAAATAATAAATATGCATCTCACATTTGATTATTCAAACTTTGTTATATTCTATTTGAGAATTTGAACATAGCAAACACATAAAAAAAAACTTTTATGAAGACTTTCTTCTACTCCATGTTTCAAATGGTGTCATATTCCAAATAATTTTTGTTGGACATCTATTCAATAAATAAACTACTATATTAATAGCTTTTGGCCAAATTTTTTTGGCATTTTACTTTCAAACAACGTGAATTTTGTCATCTCCATCACAATTTGGTTCTTTATCTTGAATATACCATTTTGTTAGGGTACATGACTAACAAATCAATTTTCTGTTCACTCCTTCGTCTTTACGAAATCTTTTGAATTCATTGGAGAGATATATCTTCATTCATATGATTACTACAGTCACTATCTAAATAACACATATTCTTATTCTCGTGAATTGTCTTTTGGCAAACAAAGAATAAGTTTTCTTCACCATTTTCTACATCAGCAAATGAACTATTATTGGTAAAATAACAATCTTTTTGAATTTACCCAAACTTTTTGCAATTATAACATTATGGTTTATCTTTATTCTAACAATCATTTTCTTCATGATTGTTCTTTGTATATATACTGCACCATGTTTTTGATTCTCCATTATTTTCTCTTCCACCAAGTAGCTTCTTCCTCTTCCACACAAATTTCTTACTCTTCCTTTACTTCTTGCAAATCTGTCACCTCTAGAAGACTCACAAATATTTATTGGTTCGTCTTCTTGAGATGGTACTGTGAGTTTAGATTGAAACATGCTTTCAATTGACTTTCCAACGCTACATAATAATTTTTTTCATAAGATCTAAGAGACCCCATCAACTCTTGAACAGTAATTTTTGACAAATATTTAATTTCTTCTATAATAGCCATCATATGATCAAATTACTTTATCTCCATGTGACGTCATTTGATTCACCAATTTAGAAATCTATTGAACTATTCATTCAAACTTTTTTTTTCTTTCATTTTTTTTAATCTCAAAATCTCTCTTAAGAGATTGAAGTTTGATTGTTCTCACATTTCTATTTCGTACTTGTTGAAAGTATCCAATGTTTCTTTTGTTGTTTTTATCCTCATGATCCTTGAAAATATGGATAACAAGATTCCTCTCTAAATCATCCCAAGAACTTTAGCATATGTGATTTGTTTTTTCCTTCTCAACGTTGCCTGTTATGCAGGTGTAGTAGCAGCTTGATCGTCATGCATTATTTCTATGAACTTTGAGACATCCAAAGATGTTCTCCATTTTTATAACCTAAAAATCATAATTTTCTCCTTGAAATAAAGGAACTTAGACATTGCTATAAATTGGACTACTAGTTGTTAGATTGTGTCATTTTTCTTCACGTTGTGTGTATTTTTTAAGGATCTACAGTTCTGATACTACTTTATTAATGGTATTCTAAAAGTGTGTTAATATAACTCTCAAATAACTTACTTTTTATAAGATTGTATAAACTTGTGCATAATACTTTTAAAAAAAGAGGAAAATAATTTGGGAATTGAATTACTCTCTATTTAATTGTTTCTCTTCTCTTTTCTTGTATTTCTTTTTATTTCTTACATTTTATATTATATTGAAAGGTATTATAAAAAATTACAAACATAAATATTACATCATTATAATTCAATTATCTTAAAATGTCTTCATTATGCATTCAATATCCATTAATACTTCATAAAAATACATTACTCAATAATGAGTAAAAACAAAAAAGAAAATATAAAGATCTCAAGGAATGGTTGTGATATAATTGTAGTTCATCCAAGATTATACTCATTGATAATGCTTTACATGACTCCCTTGTAGGTTTCCACCTACTGCCATGAGGCTCTCCTCAATATATTTATCTACAAGCATTCAATCGATGAGTGATTGTAGAAAAGCGTTTGTTCCAATACGCTCATGAAGTCCCACATCATTTAGGAGTCGAGACTAAGAGTAGTTTATATACACCCTCCTCCCTTAACCCACCAAGGCACATTTTAAGGATAAAACTGTGACGGACGAGAGCTCTAAAGCGAACAATAACTCGGATATGAGAATTGATCCTAACGATATTATTATAGCGGACATGACGCCAGAGTACTCTCGATTCTTAATCGAAACAATATTTATACATCTATTCTTATAAAACCATTAAAAGTGTAAATAAAAAGCCCAGAAAGTGAAGAAAGTGAAAAAAATAAAATAAAAGAATACTTGTAACATAATCATGTATCCTTATATCTAACTCATACGGTGAAGGTGAACAATGCTCATGTAATACAAGAACATTAGAGCTAAATGTTGTATCAAACATATATAGGATATGATGGTACTAGTGAAAATAATATTAACCTTTTAAAAAAAAATAATATTTAATATTAAAGAAATAGGTTAAAAAATAAAAATTTATTTAGATTCAATCAAATTTAATAAAATAATATTTTTATAATATAATAAATATATAATAAGTTTAATAATAATAATAAAGAATAAAAATATAAATTATATTGGAGAATAAAACACGAATAATAGTTAAAATAAGATGGAAATACAATAAATATAATTATTATTTATAAGTTATATTTATAATATGTGATATAGAAAGAAAAAAAAACTTAAAAATTGTTATATTTTTATAAAAATTTATATTAAAAAATAATATTTTTCTTTCGATTTTGTATTATTTTTTAATTTTGCACTGATTTAATTAAAATTTATTTATTTACCAATAATAGATAATTTTTAGATAAATTCCGAACTTGACTAATTTGATCCAATTTTTAACACGGTAACCCAATAATCTTAATATTATTTTGAAGATTATTAATAATGTTGCTCTCCATTAATATTTAGAGTTTTATATAATATAAAATGTATTTAATAAAATCTAAATGATCAAAGTAACATTTAAACTGGGTTGAAGAACATTGTCAACAATACTTTTAATATTATATTTAAGTTTTGTTTTATTGTTTTATATATTTATACTCATATTTAAATTTTGTTGTTGTTTTTATATGTTTACTTATATTTATATCGCTCTTCATTTCTTTTTTTTCCACTCTTTTCAATAGACTACTTTTAACTTTTACTTCCACATATTTTTACTCTTTTTGTTTTCATCCACCTTAATTTTTCTCTGTTATACCAAACAGAATACAAGTTTTTATACACAAATCATTTCATTAAAAGAATTGGATTAAAAGTAAGTTCAAAAATAAAAAATCAGTTGCACGATGAACTAGAAGTACTTTTGAAGTTTTAAGTTAGGAGGCTATAAAAAATATTTAATAATTTTAATGGTAGATTTTAGGTATGGGAAAGCAGAGTAGCTGTTAGCTTTATATATAATGTAACATCCTCCAGTTCCTTACGACTTTTTCTCAAGTTTCTTTTTCTTTCTAGAAACACACATTCTGGTCAAGACAAACATGTTACTACTAGATTCTCCAAGTTACCACAAAATATTCAAGTATTAATCAACAGTTATGCAGTAAAAAAAAATCAACGGCCATTATTTCATACTTTACTTCAAACTACTCAAGCATTTTATTTTAAGGAGAGGTAAATTCCTTAATCACAAGTCAAAGACATCAAGATAAAAAAGAAAAACAAATCTTATTAAACTACTAAGATTTGTACAATACGAACAACTAGGAAAGGTTAGTTTAAAAGAGTAACAAATCAATTTCAAATGGAGCATATCTGGCTGGAAAATGAAGCTCACACGTAACAGTGTTACAGCTGTTACAAATATGTTTGTGTTGAATGTCTTAAATACATTGAAAAAGATGGCAGGGAAGAAGTTAGGAGGACCCATATATTTAATAAGATCTGACAATCATTTCTTCAACCATTAAATGTCCACTGTAAATGCATTTCTTGAAGGATGCTTGTGCTTGATCTATGACACTATATTACCATTTATTTTATTTCACAAAAGGGAAATATTTTCCAGACACTAAAGTTATGGTTTGTGAATGATATCTGCCACCGAAGTTATTGAACTGCTAGGACACATTGGGGACCACTTGGTATCCTTCATTTGCAAGTATTTTTAAGAATAATGACGGTTAATACTTTATCGACTTCCATTTTATTTTTATCTCCTCATATAATACTAGTTTATTAGACCTATAAATCTTTCTCATAAAATAATTTAAATTTATTATTATGTTTTTATTTGGATAAAGTATTTTCATTACTATTTAATATGAATTATCAAAATTATTATTATTATTATTATTATATTATAAATTAGGTTCAATTACTTATTTACATGGATAAGATTGGATCAAGATAGATTAGATCGAATTAAGTGAGATCGGGACATAATAAACCGGTAAGTTCGAATCCAATCAAAATAAATTATACTAAGTCAAGAAGACTGAGTCAAGTTGGGATCAGTGATGCTTGGTCAGGATGAATCAGACTATTACTACAAGAAAATCATTAATTATTGATCGAATAATTACCAATCGGATAATTAACGACGGATATGTAGTCATCGGAAAATGAGTGATTATCGACTGAAAATTATCAAGTGATTACCGACGGATATATCCGTCGATAAATATTTAAAATATATAAATATATAAATATATCAAAATATATAAATATATAAATATATAAATATATTTGTATTTATATATTTTATATTTATATATTTACACGGATATACATTTACTTGTATATAAATATAATTTATTTGTAAGTTATTATCCAAAAATTGTAGTAGCTTAGTGATTGGAGTATCAAACTCTAATTCTAAGATACTGAGTTTGAATCTTACAGTGACAATTCTCTTAATTTGATAATAATGGAACCTCTAGATTGTTAGGCCATATACATCCGAATCGAGCTAGGTTAACCCTTATTAAAAATTGTCAAGATGGATAAAATATTTTAATTGAGATTAATTCAAATAAAATTCTTATTTTTTAGATAAATTTTGAGATTATCTTATTTTAAGTAATCAAAATACTTTCATGACTTTTCAAAATTTATATCCAAATAACCAATTTTATCACAAAACATTTCAAATGTTTTATTAAAATAAATTACTCTCAAAATTTCTCATTAAGGTTTCATAAATCCTTGGAATTAATTACATCCTTGAATTATACATGCATCCTTCCAATTTTTTAAATATAATATAAAATTTTATAACTTTTGTGACATGTTACATTGATACTAAATGATATTAATTCTGTTGAATATAAATTGACAATCAAGATTTTTTTTCAAACAACTTCAATTTTTTTTTATAAAATTATACATAGATTATATTTGTTTTACTACCAGAAAAACGCTAATTTTGAGCTGATTTTTCTAAAAAAAATAAAAATTATCTACAAATTTTATTATGAATAATAATTAGTAATTTTTTTTTCAATTTTTTTTATAAAAAATATTTACAAAACATTTCCGCCAATTTACCTGCATCTACATTTATTATATAGTTTGTACTTTGTTTTTTACGTTTTGTATATTAGTTTTTACGGAAAAAGAAATGCAAGCTTGCAGCATTTTCATGTCAATGTGCCCGTAGAAAAATATCTCCAAAAAAGTTTTAATTATATTTTCATAAAAAGTTGAAAAAAATTAATTTATTTCTTTTACAAATTAAAAAAAAATTCCGTAAATAATATTAAAAAAATAAAATATTATTTTATTTAAATTTGTAAAACATTGAATAGTGGTTTAGTGAAAGAAAAAGAAAAAACTACTGTTTTATTTCTCCATCCACTCGGATATAAGATATTTGCGTTGAGATATTTTTTTACTCCACCCGCGGTTATTCTCTATCACTCTCACTCTCATAGAATCGATTGGTCGGTCCATCACGTTTGATTTTGTGTCTCATTCTTTTGAGTTTGTCATCACTTTTACTGCATTTACTCAGGTTTTCATCTCTTATCAATCCTCACTACTTATCTTTTTCTCATGCTCTTTTTGATAATGGACCAATGGAATAGTCATCATCATGCTGTCTTTTTAAAAAATAATGGATGGTAAGTCTGAGTTTTGCCGTGGATTATTTATTACACTACTACAAAACTAGTTTTTTTCTGCCAATTTTCTTGCAAAAAATTGTTTAAATTTACAGAAAACTTATTTCTTGCAATTTTTACAAAAAATTTGCAAAAATATTCCCATAAAAAATGAGAATTTTTAGTAGTGTTAGCTTTTAGTGAACATGTTTTTACTCTGGTTATTTTTGTTGCGTTGAACAGGTTTGTAAGAACGAAAAAGATACTTTGACAACCGAAAACAAACAACCGTTAGACAACCGGGGCTAAAAAGAAATTAATTAAAAATAAGGGTTTGATTAGTAAAATTGTAGAGGGGTAGAGATGTAATACTGTAAAAATGGGGGATGTTATGGTAAAAAGTGAAATATATGTTTTGAAGAAGTTACAGTGTTTTTCGCTTTTCACATTCGCGCTCGACTTCTTCTCGCTGGACTTAGGGTAAAATTTCTCCGTCTCGCTCTCCACGGTGCTCGACTTCCTGTCGCTTGGCTTCGTCCGTGTCGTTGGAGCTGAACATCATGTCTGTTGCTTGAGCGACCCTGCGGTGGTGAGTGTTCGTTTAACAACATTTGTTTGATTTTGTGTGTATTTTTGATTGGGTTTCCATTGTTGTTTTCTTTTCTGTTTATCTTTGATTGGGTTTGTAATGAAGGTTTTTTTCACGGTTTAGGGTTTATTGAGTTGTGATGCAATATTAATGTCGAACAAGTGTTTGATGAAATGCTATAATGAAGAATTGTATTTGCGCATTCTTGCTTTGTTTTCTGTTTATCTTTGATTGGGTTTGTAATGAAAGTATTATGTAGGGTTTAGGGTTAATTGAGTTGTGATGCTATATTAATGTCCAACAAGTGTTTGATGAAATGCTACAATGAAGAATTGTATTTGCATGACAAACATTTTGTATAATATGCACAAGATTTACACCCACGTTTCAATCCTTTGTTTGCGGTATGTTTATTGTGCATTTAAAAAGTTAAGTTGCACATAGGTTTATTATCATTGATTGTCATTTATTTTTGTGCCTTTTGATAGACACAAGTGATTGAACAAATGTATATTCGCAAAGGGAACACATCGACGTGGACAATGAAAGACTTCTCACTTTTCTATCCAAATACAATTATTCCATTGCAGCAGTTATTAAGTGGTGAATTTGTGAATATTTATACTTTGCCTAAAATTTATATTTTTGTCAAGATAAAATTCAATTAACTAGAGTTTTTTCTATTTCAGATTTTTGCTCCCACTGTACACAA